GGAAGTTACTCAGTGAAATAGATCTATTACTATAAATAAAAGTGTCCGCTTTACTTTAGTAAATCTGGGGCTCTTTTCTTGGCTTAATCACATGGGCCACTTGGAATGAGACCTTTACACACGTTTCTCCAATGTTTGAGGGCAGCATGCACACAAGGCAAGGCATTGTTCTAGAATGTTCCTGCCAGGACCAGAAATGTTCCTCTCCCCACATGGGTTTTCCCATTGCCCACCTTCTCTGCAAAACAGTTGAAATATCAGCCACTGGCTTGGTCTGTGTGATTCATAAACTCTGCCACTCATCCATTGCTTCTTGGTTCTCAGTGTAATGTCTACCTCCTGTAACCCTTCCCCTCTCCCACAACCCAAATGCAACAACAAGGTGACAACTCACGCAAGAAGAAGGTAAGGTCCATTGATGTACAGTCTCCAAATCCTATCCATTAGCATTTCATGGATAGGAACATCAGATAAAATACAAGGAAACTTCAAAACATTTGTGGAAAAATTCCACCATCTTTGAATTCCACTTTTCCATGACCTTTTTGGAGCCCCTTCATATAAAACACCTGATTAAATTCAAATTTCAGTTCAACAAATCATTTTTACATAAGTATAAGCATGTTCCATGCAATGTTTGGAACATACTTAAACTAATATATATATATATATATATATATATATTCATCTTTAACTGAAATTCCAAGTTCACTGAAATTCACATCGAACAGCCTGTATTTTCATTTGCTAACTCTGGCAGCCCTATTATTATTGATGATGGTCTGTGATACACATGGTTGGAGGTTTTTTAGCGTTGTACTTTTACATAAAGAATATCAAGTTGGTTGACACTGGCAGGATAGCATTTGGGGAAGAGAGGAGAGGTGTGGGCAGGGAGAAAAGCCAGGCTCATAGTTTCTGATTGTAACTCTGAGACTGAGTAAGGAGAGAATATGTGGAAATCCTATCAATCAGTAGGATCTCTGTGGGAATCTCTCTCTGGTTGCTTCCATATGATTACTCATTTAATACTTATTTCATGCCAGATTCTGTGCCATGTAGGAGCTAGAAATAGCCTATTGGTGTAATGGTTAAGCACTTGGCTGCTACAGGTTAGTGGTTCAAATACACCCAGTAGCTCCATGGGGTAAAGACATAGCAATTTGCCCCGTAAAGATGACTGCCTAGGAAATCCTGAGGTCCAGTTCTCCTAGGTCACATAGGGTCATTATGAGTTGGAAGTGACACATATGGCACCTAAACAACCATAGTTATTGCATTGTTACAAATAGAGAGACAGAGAGAGATACACTTGTAGTATTTTGCCCCTACCATGGAATTTTAATATCACAGATAATACTATGACCTGTTGAAGAGCCACAGACCTTGTAAATAGCTATTTTATCATACTCCCCCACTCAAAACCAAGTTCTACCCCCGTGATATGGCCCTTGTTGGAAATACATTATGGGACTTGCCCCATTGTTGATGGTAGAGGAGTGTAGGGGGACAGCTGGCTTTGGTGGAGACAGTAGAGACTAGAGTGTTTATTAAGAACTTGATTTTGGGATCCACCTTCTCAACCCAAATGTCAACTCTGTCCCTTTAGTAGAGACCTTAAATGCACTTACCTGTACAATGGTCGTAAGTAGTCCCTGCCTTACTGGGCCATTGTTAGTGCATTCTAAGGCTAGGAACAGTGTTACCATGACATCAGAATTAAAGGTTAGCCATTTGTCTGGAAGAAGCAGTTGTGGTCCAACCGGACTCGGCAGAGAGAAGATGGGGGTCAGGGAGCAAAATGGTGCATGGAAAACAGGAAGCCAGAGGGATTCAGTAAACCTGACATGTCCAGAAGAGGCGCTGGAATTTGAGCATGGGGTGAGGCTTTTCTCTAACTCCCATGTGTCTTTGGGCGAGTGGGCTTTAAGGGACAGCCATGAACTGAACAGATATTCAGCATTGTTGTTGTTGAGTACCATGGAGTCAGTTCCAACTCATAGCGACCCTGTACAGGGCTTCCAAGGCTGTAAATCTTTACGGGAGCAGAACGCCTCATCTTTCTTCCGTGGAACAGCTGGTAGTTTCAAACTGCCGACCTTGAGGTTAGCAGCCCAATTCGTAACCACTACAGCATACGAAGTATAAAAAACCAAGCAGCCGAATTGAAATGAAAGCTCATAGGGCCATCCCACAATCAAACGTCTACTCTAATGCCATTGGCAGGCCCCATGAGTGACCTTCACCAACCAGAGATAGAAACAGCGTTTCTACCCTGACCTCCAGGTACACTGTCTAAGGAGGGATTCTCCCAGGGAAGCAAAAGGGAGGTGTTGATGTTGGGCAAACTGAACCACTTGTGGCTTTTTCTGCCATCCCAGACCACAGTTCCTTTAGCCACCGATTGTAGACCATGCTGTTCCCTGTGCACGGACCCCCACCCCCACCCCCAGGTAATTTCCAGCTGTCTTTTGAGCCATAACACAGGCTTCTCTTTCTTACTCAAACCTTCCTTCAGCACCAGATCCATTTCCCTGTTCTAAACCCTGGAAGGCCCTTCTCTCCCTGGGCAGCACCTCTCAGAGCTGAAATTTGACATTTCCACATGGAATGATTTGTTTGCTTGCCGCCTCTCCAAGTGGATAGTAAACTCCATCAGTGCACCTGAATGCATGAACAAATGGTGGTTTTGTGCCGTGGAGTCGGTTCTGACTCATAGCAACCCTGTATAGGGTTTCCGAGGCTATAAATCTTAACAGAGGCAGAAAGCCTTATCCTTCTCCCACTGAGTGGATGGTAGATTCGAACTACTGATCTTAAGGTTAGCAGCCCAGCTCATAACCCATTCAGTACTAAAGCTTCTTAAATGGATAAATACTACTTCTTTTTCATGTGTTCTGGGAGTGGAGGGGGGAGGACACTTGGTGGGAGGTACTTACCCTTTGTTGTTGTAAAGTGCCGTGGAGTCGATTCCGACCCATAGCGACCCTGTAAGTGTTTCTGAGGAGCAGCTGGTGAGCTTGAACCACCAACCTTGCAGTTCAAAAGGCTTTGCAGTCTGACACAGTAACCCACAGCACCACCCCAGGACTCCACTTACCCTTTAGACAGGCTCATTTGGTTTCATCACTATTTAGAGCAAAAACAGTGCCGGGAGCTGCAGACCGTTTCAGGGGGCTTTAAAAGTTCATGGGGAAATTCCATTACCTTTTCATTCCATTTTCCATGAACTTTTTGAAGCCTCCTGGTACACAGCACACAGAATCTCCCAATTTAGGCCATTTGGACTTCACTGTGTATGAAATACAGACAAACGTTTAAATGTTGTGCTGTTTCATACTCTGAAATATAACTGAGCTTCTTTTTGACTTTCCAGCCCTCACTAAAGTCATTTCTATACTTTGCCCCCTTTAAATTCTAATTCAAACTCAGCCTCAATAAATGAGTTCTGTTTAGTATGAAAAAAAGCCAGCATGGAAGATACGGAGTCTTGTTAAATGTCACGTTATTTGTAGACACCCGTTTTATAGACAAAGTGCTGCCCGTGGGAAACTCCCTAGCCACACGTCCAGACTGGAGTTCGGTTGTGCTACTTAACATTGGGCAGCTCATGGGCCTTGAATATGTGGAACTGGGACCATTGGACCAGGTCGCCAAGAATCTTTCCAACATCAGAAAGACGATGAAACTTCTTGAATTTTGTCCACATCTCACTTTTACTGACAGCTTCCCTCACCCCCACCTATTTAGTGAGAAAATGTAATCAAAGAACTGACACCCCTGGGAATTTCCAGGGCCTGAGTCACAGGTCCCTGAAGCAAAACATTGTCAAACAAAAAGGTTGGCTCAAGGGACTCTAGTGTTGAATTTTTTAGTGCTGGTATTTACCCATGTAGAGAAAGAGATGATTATAATTCTCCCAACCCGTCCTTTATCCCATGACTCAAGGAGCTAGCAAGAATGAGCAGCCTGGCCCCTAAAGAAGTCAAATGTCCTGGGTTTGGGTTGCAGCTCGGACAATGAGAGAGTAGGACAGGGGGAAGGGAGAGAGAAGGAGAGCGGGACTAGGACCATATGAACTGAGTGAATAGCACTTGGAGAAGTATACATTTAGGGTGTGGGGCTGGCCCTAAATGAGAAGCAATGGGATGTGCCATGATCTTCCTAGTCAAACCCTTTCCCAGAGTTCCAAGCTAGATATCTGCTACAGGAACACCTGTGAAAGCAGGAACCTGTCAACTGTGGAAAATGACCAGGAAAGTGGTAAAACTGCCCCCCCCCCCCATCATAGGCAGAAAACACGAGACCTAGAAAACAGGGTCGTACCATTGAATTTCAGCTTTCACAGGTTTTATTATATTTACGTTGTAACCTACTAAATCAATGCTTTCTAAAATGGGATGTAGAAAGAAAAGTTCAGAATTCCTATTTAAATGATCTGTATTTCAATCCTTGTTTCTTATTCAGGAAATTAATACATGTACATACTATACAAAGGGGCTTCAAAAAGTTGGTGGAAAAATGGAAGTGAAATATGATAGAATTTTTCCACTGACTTTTGAAGCCCCTTCATATACATCAGCACATATACGTGGAAGTGGGTGTTCCACCTGTTTTTATTAATGGCGACATGGTCAAAACTGCCCAGAGATGAGTAGCTTAGAACCACTTAACATCACCTTGATTCCTAATTAATTCCTAATTAATTGACTCCGTGTTCCCAATTAATTAGTTGCATGAACATCATTAAAAAGAAATGTTCTATTTTTTTTTTTCAAAAGGAAAAGATCTTAACTCCCCACCCCACCCCAAGATTTAACACAAATCCATGTTCGTAGTAGAATGTTTGAAAAACACATTGCTAAGGACAAAATTAACACCACACAGAACTAAAATCTGTGCATATTTAAAAAAAAAGAGAGAGAGAGAGACCTTTGACTTTTGAGTTCTTGAGATGGTTTTTAATTTTTTTTCCCCATCACTTATTTTTAACTCTGTAGGGTGCGGAAAAGTCACCTCCCACTTCAGCTGACCCCAAGTCAGAAAAAGCCAACTTTACACCCCAGGAGACACAAGGGGCAGCCAAGAGTCCTAAAGGCTGCAACCCCTCCGGACCCTCGCCATCTGCAGCAGCCAGTGAGACAGCAAAGGAAGGTGCCAAGGAGAAAACAGGACCCACCTCCATGCCACTGGGCAAACTGTTTTGGAAAAAGGTAAGTCTGTCTTTTCAAACCTCCCCAAGATTGCAGCGTACCCTTGAGCTGGGACCATTGGAGAAGTTCTTAGGGTTGCTTTCATCGACGTGTTCAACCCTGTATGGGGTTACTTTTTCTTCTCCACTTTCCATCAAGTAGAAGACTTTCAATTTCCTCCCAGGAAGAATGAAATGGCAGTCATGCTAAAAACATATGTTTGGTGGGAATGAACAGGAAACAGACAAAGAGAATTTCTCACTCTTGACATGACTCCGGTTCGTGACACAGTTTTGTGGTATTTCATGATTTCGTTTTCTTTCTAAAATGGTATATGACCCATGCATGGCTCCTGCCATCTGAGAGCCCAGACCCTGGTGAGATGAACCAGCGCTGGGTGTTTTGTCTTGTCTTTTCCCCAGGCAGACATAATTCATCCATGAGCCACTAGGTGTCGCTCTCCTTTGGGAAAGCCAAGAATGGTGTCCGCCAGTTCCCCAGCAGCAAATTAGACCATGTGCTGCACTCTGGGACCATGTAGACCAGTCTGACGTTTTTCCTCCCTACAGTGAATGGGTCTGAGGTGTGTGCTGCCCAGGGACGTAGGGGCTGAGTAATTCTGGGAGTTACTGCTTTACCACCATTGCTGAGTAAGCTCACAGCTACCACATGTGTTCTGAAACTTTGCCTGTTTTATATTTGGCCAAAAGACAAACAGGAAATGTGTGTGTGAGAGTAAAGCGCATTCATACAGCTGGAAAATTCAGCTTAGGCATTTCATCCAAACATCCTTGCCATTTACCATGAGGAAGGTAGGCGGTAAATACAGATTTCACAGTGGAGTTAGTTTTCCTTTCTTGTCCAGATTCCAGGTGAACGCAGGTGCCTTTTTCCTGTTGGTTTGCTGTTGGACAGAAATCTTCCTTCTAGGTTCTGCCAAGAACACAAGTTCCAGTGTTTCATGAAAACCTTAGTCCATCAACACTCTGTATTGAGCTCCTTCCTTGACAAACACCACTTATTTATTTCTTAAACTCTCTTATCAGCAGTATACTGTAGGGAAATGTTTCTGAGCAAGTTCATATGAGCATGCTGATGGTGATGGAGATGGCTTCAGTGACTACATTTGAAAACCACAAGTGCCCAACAAGCAGTTGTGGTGGTTTTGTGTTGTGGAGTTGGTTCCGACTCATCGCGACTTTGCATAGGGTTTACGAGGCTGTAGATCCTTACTGGAGCAGAAAGCCTCATCATTCTCCCACAAAATGGCTGGTAGTTTTCAACTGCTGACCTTAAGGTTGGCAACCCAACGCGTAACCACTAACTACCAGAGCTCCTTACTGCGCAATAGCTGTTCCCTAAGCCCTTAATCCCCCCGGTGCTCAGCAAAGTTAAGTTCTGACCTTGCCAACTTCATTCTCTCTCATTCTGTCCAGTTTGGGAAACTACTGAGTAATTTCATCCAAGGTTTCTCTTTGCTTTGGAATTTCTAAGGGATTTACTGATTCCTCTTTGACAATCAAGCTGTCCCCATTGAAAATAAAATCAAGGATCACTTGACATTCATTTCCTCAATGATAGTATAATCCATTTATTTCAGTCTCACTGTGCTTGTATCATTTTTGTTGTTAGGTGCTGTTGAGTTAGTTCTCACCTTATGTACAACAGAACAAAACACCACTCAGTCCTGTACAATCCTCACAGTTGTTGTTACATTTGAGCCCATCGCTGCTGCCACTGTGCCAGTCCATCTTGTTGGGGGTCTCCCTCTTTTTCACTGACCTCCACTTTACCTAGGATGCTGTTCTTCTCCAGGGACTGGTCCCTCCTGAGAATATGTCCAAAGTACCTGAGGCAAAGTCTCTCCATTCTCTCTTGTAGGGAGCATTCATGATCTGGCTTTATTTTGTTAGTAGATTGTAGGAATAATGAAGTTACGCAAAACAAAACACCAGTTGAATCACCTATAATTCTTGTCTCTACTTCTGTCACCCAAGCAGAAAAAAATAGCCTCATGGGGAGGTTAAAATAGGGAAGATCTGCGTATTCCATCGTGCTTTTTAATCACTGTCTTTGTGCCGAATTCTTTATGCTAAATCCGTCGAGCTAATCTTCTACATCCATAGCTAACATTCTTGTGGGGGAGTTGATGTGCAAGAAGAACACAAAATGAGAACTTTGTTTTCTTTCCCTTGAAATGAGACACATTTTGGCTACAAAAATCACTCTTGTAAACAAACAAAAAAATAGTAAGTAGGGACAGGGTTGTTGTTGTCGAGTCAGTTCTGACTCACTGCGACCTCGCAGAGCAGAACAGAGCAGAGGTGGGAGACATCCAGCCCATGGGCCACATAAGGCCCACGAGATCCTTTGGTCTGGTCCTTCCAAGGCAACCGCAGTTCCAGTCATCACACTGTTTGACCAAATACAACAGGCTGATTTTAAAGTTGGCAATTTTGCATGGCCCATGAATATTGTTATCAATTTTAGCAGAAAAAAAAAGTCCCCTACACCCGCTATTGGCCAAGTGGCAGCATCGATGGACTCAAGCGTGGCAACAGTGAGGTTGGCCCAGTATCAGGCAGTGTTTCGTTCTGCTGTGCAGAAGGTCACTATGGGTCGGTACCGACTCGATGGCACCTAACAACAACAACAACAACAACCCTGCTATAGAGGGTTTCTAAGGAGCAACTGGTTGGTTTGAACCACTGATGTTGCAATTAGCAGTCCAATGCTGATCCCACAGCACACACCAGGACTCCCGGGAGGCGAACACTAGGATATGCTTATATATTCACTGATAACTAACAGAACGCTCTCTTCTCTTCTAACTGAGAAGCTGGCTTTAGAGTCTGAGGGTCGATGATGGTAAACAGGAGAAACCAATTTTTCCCAGCACAGGCTTTGAAAATGAAACTATAATCTCTTGAATGGATAGTCTCAATTGCTGAAGTAATTCTTACTTTATACATCTATTTTTAATAACAGTAATCTTTGGAGGAATCAACTTAGGTTATGGTATACTTGCCAACAAAAAAATGAGGTTCACACCCAGAGACTGGACTGAATATGCCCTTTGCAGTTCTGAGTCAGTCAGGCTGCATTTGCTCTATGACTTTGCAAAATGCACTTGCTCTCTTTGAATTTTGCCTCCTGCATCTGTTTAGTGGAAGGGTTGTAACAGATGATCTGGCAAACTCTGCATAAGGCAAGTCTCCCATAACACCCAGAATCAGAAAGATGGGACTTTGTAAACTTGGACAGCCTTGAAACACTTTTTCTTATCTGTAACAGAATATTGAATGTCGTGTGGGCTGCCAGAACAAACAAATCTGGCTTGGAAGAAGTAAAGTCAGAATGCTTCACTAGATGCAGGGATGATGAGCTGCTGTCTCACGTACTTGGGATGTATCTCAGGGACAGTCCTCAGAAAAGGACATTGTACTTGGTAAAGTAGAGGGTGGGTCTCCTGGTGTTGCACTGTCGGATCAGCACTGGACTGTGAACCTCAAGGTTGCTAGTTCAAACCCACCAGCTGCTCTTCAGTCACTATGAGTCCAAATTGACGTGACAGCACGTAACAACCACAAAGTCGAGGGTCCGTGAAAAAGATGAAGACTCTTAATGAGGTGGATTGACAACGTGGCTGCAACCTGGATTTAAACTTGGCAGCGATTGTGAGGCTCTCACGCCATGGTGTGTAGGGCTGGAATGAGTCAGGTCCTCGGCAGCAGCACCTAATAACAACGGCAGCACAGGGAAGATGTCTCTCCCAGTGTTGATATAAGAGTAATTGGACATACAGACCACCTGAGATGTTACCCATGTTCAGGGAATCAAGCATCCTCCTGGTTTTCCAGGTACAAACAATGGGCTGGTCTTCATCTGAATATCCAAGTATGACTTCCGGTGCCAGCACCTCCAGGGTGTCAGCAAGCATGAGATCCCTTTTCTAACATCAAAGGACATGAAATCCACTTGGAGTCACCAGACATACGTGCTCATACAAGTAGTAAATCATTGATTGAGAATATTGTCTTAAAGAACCCTTTTCCTGGCTCTTTCAGAGGAGTCAAATGATGTAAAAAGGAGTAAAAGAATGTGAGTTCTGAAGCCCAAGACACATAATCAGATCTCAGCTCCGACCATCCCTGGCTGCTTGAGTTTGTGCGGATCACTGAGATAAGCCAGCCAAGCTTCCGTTAGCTCAAGCTCCCATGGTTACTCGGAGGCCTATGTAAGAAAACGAATGCAAAGTGACTGACATTCAACGAGTCATCTTCCCGTTCCCAAGCAGTGAAGTTTGTGACCCAGCTCTGGTAGTGTAGTGGTTACGAATCGGGCTGCGAACCTTTAAGGTCAGCAGTTCGAAACTACCAGCCGCTCCATGGGAGAAAGATGCGGCATTCTGCTCCTGTAAAGATTTACAGCCTCGGAAACCCTGTACAGGGTCGCTGTGGGTCGGAACCAACTCGACGGCACTTCACAACAACAACAACAACATTGATGTAGTAGATCCAGTATTAATTTAGGAGCCCTGGTGTGGTGCTGTAGGATAAACACAGCACTGCAAGGTCGGTTTGAACGGCAAGGTCGGAGGTTCAAACCCACCAGCTGGTCTTCAGAAACCCTATACAGAGAGAGTCGCTATAAGTTGGAACCAACTCAACGGCACTTAACAACAACAACAACAACAACAGGCTACTCCATGGGACAAAGACCTTCCATAAAAATTACAGCCACGAAAACTCTACGGTGCAGTTCCATGCGGTCACACAAGGTTGTTATGACTCGCCAAACAACTAAGTTTCCAGTTGTGAGACAGACCATTTGAAATAAAAAATGAAAATGATATATAAAAGTGATTACAGCCAAGAAAACCATACGGGACCTTTCTGCTGGGTAATCCATGCAGACACCATGATTTGGGGTTGACCCTGTGAGCAGCTAACAACAACAGTGTTCATTTATGGGATGCAGGTGGCAAATGAAATACTACGGCTGTTGAGAAAGGAGAGAAAGTGGAATGTAGGGCCAAATAGAGCATGTTAACTTTCCCCAGCATCATCTGGGGAATTTGTTTAAAAGACAGCCTTTTACCCCTCCATCCCCCTGGAATTCTGGTTACGAAGGTCTGAAAGCCCCTGAGAGAAGGTTTGGGAAACCTGGCCTTGGGTAGAGGTGTCATACTTCATTCGGGTTCAGCCCCCTACTTGCAAACAGCAAGGTCGGCAGTTCGAAACTACCAGCTGTTCTGCATGAGAAAGATGAGGCTTTCTGCTCCTGTAAAGATTTACAGCCTCAGAAACCCTGCACAGGGTCCTATGAGTCAGAATCGACTTCACAGCACATAACCACCGCCCCCACCCCCACCCCCAGATAGGCTGAATCCAAGTCTACATTTTACCGAGATTTCCCAGGTGACTCTTGTAGATTCATAAGAACCCCCTAACTGCAGGGTTGGTGGTTCAAACCTACCAGACACTCCTTTAAAACCCTACACAAGGGAGGTTTGCTATGGGTTGGAACCGACTCAACAGCACTTAACAACATATCTAGACTAAAAAGGCTAATTTGCAGTAGGGCTTGGAACCAGTAGGAGCCGTATGGAAGTCTTGTATGAAATCAAGGAGCTCAGGAAATCAAAAGGAAGCTTCTGGAAGGCATGCTGGCCACAGGCTGTCTGTTGGCCTAAGTGCTCCCATATGAAAGTAGTTTAAAGAAACTTTCTTTTAGGGATTAAAAGCACTTTTTCAAGGACACTTAGCTCCTTAGTCACAGCAACAGAAGTGTCCAAACTGGATCCTTCAGATTACATAAGGGATTCAGAGGGTGGGTGAGGACCCAGAAATCATTTACAAAAAAGAAACGAAACAAATGTTTATAATTGTTTTTCTGGGAGGAGAATCTAGATCTCTGAAAAGAGTCTCAAAATAGTCAGCAACTTACCCGTTCACTCCAGAGAAGTTTAAGAACCACTGAAGAAAAGGCACAAAGATGTAGTTCCCCAAAATTGGAACTTGGTCAACAGAAGTGCTAGTTGTGGCATTGACCTTGGATCAAATCAGAGCAGGACTGTAGGTATCAGCATTACTGTAGGAATCAGCGTGTTGAAATGAGACGGGTCAGATCCAGCCCTCAGCCCTCCACAGAAGCATCTTACCACATTGAGTTTTGGCGGTGGTGTTAAGTGCCGCTGAGTCCGTTCTGACTCATAGCAACCCTGTATAGGGTTTCCAAGGAATGGCTGGTGGGTTTGAACCACCAGCCTTGCAATTAGCAGTCCAGTGTTTATCCTACAGCGCTACACCAGGACTCCAAGAAAATGTGTAAGCAAATGGAAGTCTACTGGCCAACACTTTGTGGTTTGCGTTTTCTGTGGTACCCCCTTCCTGGCTCAATTACATTTGTGTGTGTGTTTTTTCCCCTTTGTTGTGTTTTTAGAACAGTGATTTGATTTATATTGACTTGCTATACTGTTTACATTTCTGAAAACCTCCTTCAAGCTTTTCAGTACAAAGTATATACATAAAGAATTAAATGTTAAAAGATTCCACCAGGAGAAGAATTGTTATCAGGACTGCTTGTGAGGGTTGGAAATGTAAAGGTAGATGTTTTGTAGCAAGGAGGGGAGTTGTTAACTTTACAGCCTAGGAGTGGAGGTCCCTGGGACCATCAAGGGAGAAGAGCAGAGAGCGGGACCCAACCCAGAGAAGCAATGATGCCTGAGATGGAGGCAGAGAAGATGACATGGAGAGATGGAGCAGTTGGGGACTATAGACACAGAGAGGGAGAGGGGCTGTGTGCTGATGACCGGAGGGGAAGGCTTGTAGTGTATACCCTTTGGTTGGTTGATGATGCATGGAGGGGATTGTAACCATAGCACTGAAGTGATATACAATAGGATGAATGTAAAACTAATGTTCTCCCATATAAACTATCACATAATTCACAATAAAACATTTAAAAAAATGATTCCACCAGGAGGAAATGAGAACCTAACTAACCCTTGTCTTTTTTGTAATATCTTTTTTATTCAACAGCCTGACTCTGGCTTTTGTTTTTATCTTCCCTTTAGTCAATTAAAGAGGATTCAGTCCCCACAGGTCCCGAGGAGAATGTAAGTTACGTGTTAAGTGACAGAATCATTCCACGCTCATCTTCAGACCAGAGTGTTTCCAGTTCTGGGGTTCTGTGTACTTGCATGATGCAAATGGTGTCTATCTGCTATAGATGCTTTCGTCCTTTCATGTGATTTGGGATCCCTGGGGAGGGACATTGGATGAGTCACTCACATTGTTGCTGTTCAGTGCCATCAAGTTGATTTTCAACTCAGAGTAACTCCACGTGCTCCCTAGGATTCCTAGGCTGTAACTTTTCCAGGAGTCCAGGAGTGGTGCTGGGGGTTAATGAGTCAGACTGCTACGTCAGTCAGCAGCCGCTCCTTGGAAACCCTATACAGGGTCGCTGTGGGTCGGAACCAACTTGACGGCACTTCACAACAACAACCTGTACAGGAACAAACAATTCACCAGGTTATACTCCTGTGGGGCTGCTGGGTGAGTTTGAACTCCCAACCATCCAGTTAGCAGCTGAGTGCTTAACTCTTGTGCCATAGGACTCCTTCATTGTCATTGAGTCATTGGAAAATGAATGCAAAGTCAGAACATTTTGTTAAAATGTTATCATTGAAGGGCTGAAAGCATCTACTGAGCTTAAAACAGCTTTACACTTCCTTCAAGGCAATGATGCCCCATCCTCTCCTTCATCCCACCTTGATTGTTCTCTCATCTTTATTTCCATGGCGACTCAGGCTCTCTACTAACTTGCATCAGACAGGGGAGCATCTTGCTGCAATGGATGCTGGGACTTTTCATTTCAGGCTGGAGAGCTGACAAGGATGGGTCTTTTCCTGAGACAGACAGGCTGAACTTCACTGTCTTTTTGATCTTTTGGTCTTCTAGAAAGGATGGGCTGAAATTTCAAGAACGAATGTTTATTATATCTTAAGGAAATGACTTCATATGAAAATACAAATACACAAAATGGATCTTTCCAAAAAACCTTTCAGGGAAATTTTTTCTTAAATTTGCCTTGTGAGTTTCAGATCCAAAACAGCCACCTTCTGCCTTCAAGTGCAGTCTTTGGGAAAAAAATAAAAATTGAGTGGGACTAAGTAAATTCACAGCCCTTCAAGATAAAACTGATGGCTATCACTGTGCCAGAGCAAAACACGTCTTCGCTCTCTCTGAGTGCTCCTTGTTGGTTTGGCGATGGATTGGGACTTGTGTTTTAAATTTTTATCCCACTGAAATGGGACAGATGTTGAGGATCCAAACGTGTTCCAGGAATGTTGTCCATCTAGGGGAGGGAAATTAACACAGAGGTGATGTATTAGGAATCTTTGTAGCAGAAAGAGTTTGGGAATCTGCTTTTTTTTCTTTTTCGAACAACTGGAACTCCAACCTGGGAGTTCAGCAAAGCACAGGTTTCTCTTAATTCTAGAATGTTCTCCTAAATTTACTAGCTATTTTCTAAAGACTCAAAATCTCTAGTTACTTCAGCAACCCGTAAAGAGGAATTGCATGAATCTCCTGCCCCAACAATTTTAATTAAAATGTTGTGGGTTAAATTCAGATCATCAGTTAGCTCTGAGTGTCTGAGTTTTGAAGGAACGTTCTGTTTTGGATGCTAGTGCACAGTTGCTCTTTGGAAGAAACCTGGTAGATTTCTACCAGGCCAGTGGAAGGTATTTCATTTCCAGTGTGAAATTTAAAAGAGAAATAAAAGCATGGCTTGTGAGCTAAGTCATTGATACCAAAGGAGTGACACAAAGCAGGTAGGAGTAAGTATGACAGAAAAGTGGGTTTGTTTGTTTGTGTGTTTGTTTGTTTAAGGACAACAAAGAAGTCTTATAATCGTCGCTTGAGATGACAGGTCCATGAAAGATGTCTTCGTTTTTATCTTATGACATTTCATCCTCTAACACCTTACCACTTAGATAGAATGAGGCTAAAAAGGTGTGATGTTGGTCCCAGTACCTCCAGGCTGTGCCACCTGTAGAGTCTCAGTTTACTGATCTGTTAAATGGTACAATAACATCGTCGGTTCAAACTCACCAGCCGCTCTTCGGAAACCCTAGACAGGGTCGCTATGAGTCGGAACCGACTTGACAACCCTGAACAACAACACCAACCCCTTAAGATGATTGTGAGAACTACATGGAACAATGACATGGCATTCGTGGTTCTGAGGCTGAAGCCTAGGAACGCCTTGAAAACAGGCAGAGCCTAGCCTACAGCTACATCTGACCCACCACCTGTTTTTTGTAGGACCCATAGGCTAAGAATGGTTCTTACATCTGTAAATGGTTGGGGGAAAAAACATGGAAAGAAGAAAATTTCGTGACATGTAGCCATGGTATAAACTTCAGATGTCAGTGTCTATAAATAAAGTTTTATTAGGACACAGGCACATGCATTCCTTTACATATTACCAATGAATATGTAAGCTTTCTTGCTTCATGGCAGAGTCGAGTAGTTATAACAGACACTAATCTGTCAGCCCATTTGCAGGATATGCTTGCTGACCGTTGCAGTCATTGTTAGAATCCTGGTGTGGTACTACAGGAAAAACACTGGACCACGAGGTTGGTTTGAACGACAGGGTTGACGGTTCAACTGCACCAGGTGCTCCTCAAAAACCCTAGACAGGGCCGCAGTCATTGTGAGCAAGAGAGCTGACATTGGGAGTTATTTCCTCTCAGCTGACCCAATGGCACATGACAGGAAGACAGATCTTGAACAGAGTTTCTTTCATGTCCTTCTCCAAAACAGAGAGAGAGCGAGATAGCAAAACCAATGCGAACTACTATAAATATTCAGAACAGGACAATGAGGTGTGATTGCGTGTTTGATGGGGCAGTGGTGGGCTGGTGGCAGAATTCTCGCCTCCATGAAGGCAACCTGGCTAAGCTACCCCAAGCACAGCCACTGTCCATCTGTTGTGTGTTGTTACAATGCTGAGCAGGTTTCCATGGCGCCTCCAGACTAAGAGAGACTAGGAAGAAAGGTCTCGCTATCTACTTCAGAAAAAATCAGCAAAGCAAACCACATAGATCATCGTCTCATACATGGGTTCACTTGAGTCTGGGGCCAGCTTGATGACAGTTAACAACACACATAATTAGTGAGTTCTCACAGCTTTGTTATTGTTGTTGTTGAGTGCCATGGAGTCAGTTCTGACTCATAGCCACCCTGCGTAGGGTTTTCAAGGCTTTAAATCTTTGAGAGAGCCGCAAGTCTCATCTTTCTACCATCTTATAGCTTGATTATGCTTTATTTAATTTCACTACCTGCAACTTTCCAAAACATGCTCCCAACCAATGCAAGCTCCACGTATATATTTACAAAGTAAGTATGATATAAAAATTTGAAGCAAAAAGTAAAATCCTTTGCTGAAAATTATATTGCCTCTATTCACCATATCAGCCATGTGTATACCATGTTGTTGTTGTTGTTTAGAGCTATCAAGTCTGGTCCAACTCATAGCAACCTTGTATAGGGTTTCCAAGGTGGCTGATGGGTTTAAACTGCCAACCTTTTGCGTAGAAGTCCAGTGCAGATCTTCCAGTACCACACTAAGACCCATATCCATATCCTCTACTAAAACCAAGTAGTGGGGGGTTCATTCTAAATATGGCACAAATCTGGTTTTACCGGTGTCCAGCTACCCAAAATTAAAATAAGCAGATGCAGTAATATATTCTTAACAAGGCTCAAGTCTGAAAGGAAACTGGAAAGGATCCAAATAAAAGTAGAATTCATATGTCTGTCTATGCAAATAACTCGTTCTGGGTTTGCCACTCTGGATGCCAATGGATTTTCCTTGGTTGCAAAAAGCCAACTTGTTGGCCTGACTTCAAAGCTCATTTGAGTCTCTAGACGTCCTGATTTGGGGTCTACTGAAAGAGTTGTGTTTTGGAGAGTCGACTGGTGGCCTAGGATTTGTGATTTGCTGCTTCTTGATTGGAAAGGCCCAGTTGGCGTTCAGATAATGTTGATTTGCAAAGCTACTGCCACAGCATCTTGCCATCTCATTATCTGGGTAATTTTCCCTCCAGGCTCTTGCACACAACAAAAGAGCCAGCTTCAAAGACGGAATCATTTCAAATACAGGGTCAGGCATAACCTGTTCTTTACCTACCTCAAGGTCAGTTCCCGCCTCTCTTCTATTTCTTCCCTGGATTTCGTGAAAAGATGTCCACAACCACACCCCAAAAATATTTCATTGTGATTGATCTAAACTAGTATCCCTGTTGACTTCACCTTCAATTAGTCTAGGGTAAAGATGTGACCGAGTTCTGAAATAGACTTTCGCTTAGAGGATCAAAATACAGAAGTTCATTTGGAGCAAATCTTTCTTTGCACTTTGCATTCCTTCTTGGAACATTGGGTTGAGGAAGTGATGCCTGGAACCGCAGCAGCTATTTTATGACAGGAGGCAACAAATGTAAAAATGTGAATCCAGCATGCCAAAGATGACTGAGAAAGAGTCTGGCTTCTGGGAGATATGGTGAGCCAACTCTAGAACGTGCCAATTTCAAACTTCTTGTTCCATGTTTTCATTGGTTAAGCCACAATTAGATATTCAACTCCTGGCAATCAATTCCATCTTCACTGATGTAATTACTGAAGTGAGACTTTGGCCAAGTCACTCAACCATTCAGATCCTTCATCTGTAGAATGGGGACAGGGTTATCTACCATGAGCTGTCTTTGTAATTATTTATTGAGTTAATATATTATATTTTAAAATTATATATATATATATATATTAAAAGGACTTCTGGTGTGGTGCTGTAGGATCAGCACTGGACTGCAAAACACAGGTCGGCAGTTCAAACCTACCAGCTGCTTCTCAGAAACCCTAGACAAGGGTTTGTAACCAATTCGACAGCACTTAACAATAACAACATATACAAAAGTTCCTGGGATGATGCACAACAAGAGGCAGCCATTAACAAAGCGTCTCTACTTGTGGCTTAAGGTGCTCTGGTAGCGTAGTAGCTATGAGTCGGGCTGCTAACCTCAAGGTCAGAGTTCGAAACTACCAGTGGTTCCATGGGAGAAAGATGAAGGTTTCTGCTCCTGTAAAGATTTACAGGGTCACTGTGAGTGAGAACCAACTTGATGACCCATAATATCAACAATGTTGCCATTACCTGCCATGCCCCCTGGGAACATTTTGAGTTTGTGAGTATGCACCAGTAGCTCCTTATTTACAAATAAAGGGAAAATAGAAGCAGCCATATCAGTAGTTTAAAGAACTAAAAGGTGGCTAGAGATTGCCAGATTTCAGATTTCAAATCTGCATGCTGAGTTCCTGATGGTCACTGCTCTACTTCAGCTAAAACAGAGGTTAAAAGGTCTTCCCAATTCAGGATATTCGGGGCATTTTCAACACAGTATTCCATTTACAAACATACTATAAGATTCTCTCCTTCCTCCCAACAGTAAGAACAAGGCTCCTCGGAAGCTCAGGGTCAGGAACCAGCAAAGAAAAGCATAAAGGTGCTTTGGGCTGTAGAGTGCTTTCCTCTGCAGCAGGGCTGACAAACCTCTTCTGTGAAGGGCCAGAGAGTCAATAGTTCAGGTTTGGTGGGGACACAAAGTCTCTGTTGCCTACTCTTCATCTTCTTGGGTTTTGTTTGTTTGTTTTTAAGCCCATTAAAAATGCAAAAAAAACATTCTCAGCTCCGGGGCCTGGGTTTGACCAGGCATAGTAGTTTGCTGACCTTTGCTTATTTAAGGAAGTAGCAAAAATAATCCCCCAGAAATCAACCCGTCTCCAGATCAGTCAGTTCTGTCCTATTCCAGAAGCCAAGGCAAATGCAGACACTGTCCCAGGTGTGCCATGGCACAGGGCAGTGGAGTCAGACTTCCACCTGACCTTTGTGCTGGCCACCTTGCTCCCCAATAGACAGTATCATGGGCAGTAAGCTCACCATGAAGCAGTCTTGGTGGTGCCGTGGTTAGGAGCTTAACCACTCATCGGAAGGTTGGTCTCTTAAACCAACCCGCCACTCTGTGGATAAAAATGTGGCCATTAGCTCCTGTTAAGATTGCAGTCTCATAGACCCTGAGGAGCAGTTCTGCTCTGTCCTAAAGGGTGTCCACGAGTTGCAATCAACTGGACAGCAACAAGTACGTGGACACTCACCTACATACCTCCCATGGGCGGTACAACATTTAGCCCCTGTTTTCTTTTCTCATTTTTCTTCCTAAAGGATGAACTTCAGCAAAGTAACAATGGCAGATAACTGGTCTGAGGTAGGAGCAGGGATCAGTTAATGAGTAAGGAAGTCCCATCTGATAAATTGAGAGGCTTTTACACAGTCTTTTCTAAAAAGCGGACAATCTTCCCACAATCCCCAGGGGAGGAAGCTTTGGAATGGAGGGTGCCCTGGCCACTCATTGAGGTTGAACTCCTAGTGAAATGGTCCTTCCTGGCTACTGCATGTACCAGGTGTACTTCAGCCCCCAAAGGTGGGTAGAATGTTAGGAGCATTGGGCCTCCTGGGACCACCAATAGTTACTTAAAGTCACAGATGAGAAGATAAGGGAGCAGAGAAATCACCAATAGTTACTTAAAGTCACAGATGAGACGATAAGGGAGCAGAGAAACCACCAATAGTTACTTAAAGTCACAGATGAGAAGATAAGGGAGTCGGAAGGGAACAAATGAAATACCACAGAAGAGAATGTTGACACATTATGGAAAACATGACTAACATGGTCAAACAATGTGTGTGCAATTTGCCAAATGGAAATCTGACTTGCTGTGTAAACTTGTACCAAAAACTCCAAGAATATTATTTGAAAAAAACAAACAAACAAAAATGCTGGGACCTTCTATCTAAGCTTTGTACCTTCCTGGGGAAGGCATTGTTCAAAATCTGACTATTTGAGAACCAGTTGGTTGATGTGAACCAAATTGATGAGCCTATGTAGAAATGACACTAGATTGCAACTCATAATTGAGAAGAGTGCTGTTTTATTCACTGTCTTATTACCGGGCATAATAAATCCAGGCGGTGTATGAATCTCCAGTGGAGATGATAAAGTCTGAGGAAATAGAATCAGCCTTGCAAACAGTGGATCTCAATGAAGACGGAGATGCTGTGCCTGAACCCGCGGAAGTAAAACCCAAACAAGAAGACAGCAAGCCAGCACGAAGCCCCCTGATGATGTTTTTCAGGCAAATGGTAAGCCAGCCACCTCCAGCTCTGTTTGAGCGGGACATCCCAGAACAAAGGATTCGGGCCATGGTGTATGAGACGTGATTATGGGTGGTACATATGGAATGAGTGGAATATGAATTACACAGAGGGACAGTTTCTCTCCATCTTTCAGGTCAGTCACAGAGAAATTCTTGGTGCATTGCTAGTAACCCTTCATCATTCTTTAATCCTTGCCAATCTCCTCTTGACAGTTACTGCGACAGGGTGCTCACCCGATTGCAGCGATGGTGAGGTGGGCGCAGGACTGGGCAGTGTTTTACTTTGTTGTACACAGGGTCACTATGGGTAGGCATCGACTCCACAGCACCTAACAGAAACAGAAACAAGCTTCCTTTTTAACCAAGAAAGAGCTGATATTGGATCCAGAGCTTTGGAAAACCACAGCATTCCCTAGAAGTTAACAGCATCGTTAACTTTTGTTTTTTAAGTTTCCTTCTGTTGGTGGCAAATTATGCCACTCTTCTTATCATGCTAATGCTATGAAGTTTCCTTTAAAACATATAAAGGACAGAAGGTAGTTTTTTTTCAAGGATGAAGTAATGACTAGTCCAAGTTCATCAGGCAACAGTTTTGAAGGTGATGTGTCAGAGATGAAAATTTGGGCGAAACTGACCCATAGATACTCATATGAGAAAAATGACAAGGATATTTTAATAGTTAATAAGTATGACTTAAGGAGCTCTGTTAGCATAGTGGGTTATGCATTGGACTGCTCACTGAAAGATCAGCAGTTCAAATCTACCAGCCAATCTGCGAAAGAAAGATGAGGCTTTCTGCCCCTGTAAAGATTTACAACCTCGGAAACCCTAGGTTGTTAAGTGCCGTTGAGTCGATTCTGATCCACAGCGACCCTGTGTAAGGTTTCCAAGGAGCAGCTAGTGAGCTTGAACCACCGACCTTGCAGTTCAAACAACTTTGCAGTCTGATGCATTAACCCACAGCGCCACCCCAGGACTCCTCAGAAACCCTATACAAGGTCGCTATGAGTTGGAGCTGATTTGATGGCACACCACCACCACCACCACAAAATATAACTTATTATTAAGTGCCATCAAGTCGGAACCAACTCATAGCAACCTTACTTATGGTTCTCCCAAGGAGCAGCTGGTGAGTTTGAACCACTGACCTTGTGGTTAGTAGTCCAGTGCTTATCCTACAGAGCCACAGTACAGAGGAGAAAGAAGGATCCCTGGTGGTGCATAGGTTAAGTGCTAGGTTACTAACTGAGAAATTGGTCATTTGAACCCACCACCTGCTTCAGAGGAGAAAGATGTCGAAGTTAGCTTCTGTAAAGATTATCTAAAAGCAAACCCACTGGAGTTTACGGGGTTCAGATTTGTAGCAACCCTATAGGACCTGGTGGAACTGCCACAAAGGACTTCCAAGGAGTCTGGTGTGGCACTGTAGGATAAGAACTTGACCCCAAGGTCAGTTTGAACTGCAAGGTCAGCAGTTCACACTGTCCATTCACTCCTCAGAAATCCTAGACAGCGTCACTTCCTGTATAGAGTTTCTGAGGAGCGGCTGGTGAGCTTGAACCTCTGACCTTGTGGTTCAAACTGACTTTGCAGTCTAGCACATTAATCTGCAATGCCACACCAGGGTACCCCATAAACATTACAGCTTGGGAAACCCTGTGTGAGAGCTCTACTGTCCTATAGACTGCTGCGATTCAGAATTTATTCAACCGCAGTGGGTTTAGAAAGAATGTGCACAGATACCTTTTGATGCCTTGGAGGATTCATGTTCATTAAATATCTAAACAGTCAGAAAGTTAAAGACAAATCCAATCATACGACAAACCCAAGTTGAAGAAGAAGAAAAAAATATACAAAATGTCATGTCATTGATTGAATACTCTTTTAATGAAAAGTATGAATTTCATTATAGCGTGCTTTTATTTTTGAGGGTATCTGGAGATTTAATCCTTTGAGAAAGCAACTCTCTAATTTCACAGGCTCGCCTTGGCAGGGGATCATGTGGAGTCCACAAAACAAACAAAAGTCTTGCAAGTGGCCATTGAGGCCTGTTAGAAATCACTGATAACACCATTGACGGCATCTTTCCTTTTCTCATTAGATTCTCATGGAGAAAGAGGAGTAAAGTAGCTAGCAGGTCAGATGGCTGGAACTCCCCCAAAGTGCTGGTTATTTGCTCTGTAATTTGGATCTCAGAATGGATACCAAAATTGACGTTTTTTAAAGCAGTTTTTACACACTATCAGGAAAGAAAAGACAGACCTGTTTGGGGTAACTTATCTGAATTACAAATGCGATCCCCAGCTAGCTTGCCATAGTATTGAGGGGGATCCAACTTTCCTAATTCTGAATGGAGTTGAGAAATAGAGAAAAGGAAGCAAAGTTTTCCAGATAACCGGGCTAAGATAACCTCTTTCATCTGAAAGAGGGGAAAAATATAGAGGTTACAAATAAAACATAAAACCCCTCTGAAACACCCATTGCATCCCTCCAAGAAAACCCTTAAATTGGAATGAAATCCCATATTACTTAATTCATCCCTCCAAGCTTTCTGTTAACACAGGGTTGGGGAAGTTATAGTTGCACACAGTTGTACAGAATGTTGTATGTTTCTGTTGCGCATTGTTGTAGCAGAACTTGTATTTCTGTTGCACATCATTGGGGGAAATGTCCTAGTAGTTGTTGTTGAGTGCCATAGAGTTGATTCCAACCCATAGCGACCCTGTATAGGGCTTCCAAGGAGCAGCTGGTGAACTTGAACTACCGACCTTGCAGTTCAAATGACTTCACAGTCTGATGCATTAGCCCACGGTGCTACACCAGGGCTGCTGGCAATGTCTGACTTGTTAGGGAACAAAGTAGGAACAAAAGAGTTGTTTGTAATTGGTGCTCAGTGGAATAGAAGTAGGAGACAGCGTTTTCCCAAACAATTCTGAGTGAAGTCAAAGAACCAGTTGTTATGCTTTTCATTTTGTTATGGGAGTCCTGGTGTGGTGCTGTGGGATAAGCCCTGGACAGCAAGGTGAGCTTAAACCACGAAGTCCGCGGAAACCCTATACAGGGTCGCTATGAGTCAGAACGGACTCAACAGTACTAAACAGCATCTTTCCACGAGTTGTCCCAGACACCTCCTCTGTTTTATATGCAAATATGGGTTAAACTGGACTTGGGGTAGGGTAAATACTGGACTGAAAACCACAAACCCGGCAGTTCAAGTCCACTAGCCTCTCCACAGGAAAAAGAGGAGGCTTTTATGTCCACAAAGATTTACAGCCTCAGAATCACTATACAGGGTCACTGTGCGTCGAAACTGACTTGACAGTATTTAGGTACTTAACAACAACAACCACAGCATTATTCTTGACAAAGTTTAGGCTGGGAACCTAACATTATTCTTTCCAAGACTCGTATGGCTGTTAGAATTTCCCCTAAAGATTCCAGATGTCCTAATTATCCTTATCTTCTATTCGGGTTTATTTTCTTTAGAACACTACCATGCCATTGTAACTGACTCAAATACACAAAAGGCCTGGGCTTTCCAGTTTAACACAACCCCCACCACTTCCGTTGTCAAACCCAGCCCAGCGTTCATTTGTCTTCCTGGCCTCTTGCCCAGGGCTATTTGAATTGGCCCCTGATACACATTCAGTTCATTATTTTTAACAGTTTCTTCAGATCACATCATCTGGACTTACCCTACTCTGATCGACCTATTGCACTAGTGATGAGCATCTGGGTTGCTTCCAACTGTTTTTGCAATTCATTTATTCACTTATTTAGCAAATCATTAGTAAGTGTCCATGAAATTCCAGGCACATGGAACCCTGGTGGTGCAGGACTAAGCACTCAGTTGCTAACCCAAAGGTCAGAAGTTTGAACCCAGCATCTGCCTTGCAGCAGAAGGATGTGGCCGTCTGCTCCCGTAATGGTTAGAATCTTGAAAAGCCTACAGACAGTTCTATCCTGTCCTGCTATGAGTCGGAACCAACTCATTGACAATTGGGGGGTGTTTTTTTGTTGTTTAAATTCCAGGTTAAACGCTTGACTTACAAAGTCGGTTTGAACCACAAGTTAAGAACTCAACTTACAAGGCGGTTCAAACTCACCAGCCACACCTAAGAAATCCTGAGATGGTGGCAATGTGCCTTGGAGCCGGTTCTGACTCAATACCAACCCTGTACAGGGTTTCCAAGGCTGTAAATCTTTACGGGAGCAGAAAGCCTCATCTTTCTCCCATGGAACAGCTGGTAGTTTAGAACTGCTGACCTTGAGAGATAAACAGCTGTTTGGCAGTTAACTTTGTCCCCATCTCCATGGAGCCAGGAGCTCTACAAATCGGGTTGCTAACCTCAAGGTTGGCAGTTTGAAACTCCCAGCTGTTCCACAGGAGAAAGATGAGGCTTACTGCTCCTGTAAAGATTTACAGCCTCGGAAGCCCTGTGCAGTGTGAGTCAGAACTGACTTCACGGCACTTGCGCAGCAGCATCATGGAGCCAGGAGCTCTATCCACATTCTCTCCCGTGCTTTTTGAACCTGCTTTGAGTAGTCTGTGTACTACTCTCTGAAGTATCCACCGATGTCCCTGGATGCCAACACCAACAATTCTTTCCAGGAAACCTTTTTAAGTGGTATTTTCATGGCTCTTGAGCTGGCTTCAACTCCTTGGGTTTATGCAGGGAAAACAAAGCAAACAAAAAAAAATGGGTTCGCTGCTCTCCAAGTACATCATTACAGAGTTATTTTGAGCCCAATATGGGAACATTTTCAACTGCTTTTAGATGTTATTAGCAAGGTAAGTTCTTTTTTAAAAAATTAATTTTGTAGAAGAGAAAATTCAATTGAAAATATACCCTCTCTATTTTGTTTTTCATTTCTTCCTTAATAAAAGCATCGAGTTTTCTAACTTCTATCCTTTGCCCAAAGAGCTATGGTCGGCTTCAAACCAAAAGGTAGACAGTTCAAACCCACCAGCTTCTTCAAGGGAGA